ACACAGTGAAGCCTGTCATACATGATCATGCAAAAAAAAAACCAGATGCTTAACACAGGGTGGTGTACTAATAAAGATGGACCGGCAATATGTTCTAACAGTTGAGATGCTTCAGGGTGTTGTTGTGTTTTTTCAGCTAAAGAATGCTTAATCACAGTGACCTCTTCTGTCCTTACCACTGAGCATTTACGCTCCGATAAATGCCTTGTCAAAATACACATACAGTTCATAACATCAGGAAAAAATGTACACATTAAAAGCTCCAAACAAAAGCACGCTCTCCTGCTTCAGAAACGCTGGGAATATGAATTTTAACTAGATTTTGATGTGCTATCAAGATTCTGCTGTACCGTTTGCCCTCCTTGTGGCAGTTCACTGAGCCATGCAATTCCTTCTCTATTTTTTTTTCAACATTCTTAATGATAAATGCAATTTTAAAACTGATTGTACTATTTAAATAACGCTAGGGCAGGCAATACACAGTGATTTACAAATAAGTGTTTGCCATATGTAATAATCAGACCCTACCTCAAAAAGTTTAAGGTTATAATTAGGCTTTAGTTTCATAACATCACATACATGCAATACAAAACTGAACAAGCATGTGTAGATTATAGGAAATGAATGTCACACGTCCACAGTCTATTACATCCTGCATATTTTACATGGCAAGAGCTTTCTCACTAAGGACTGTAAGGTTTAACATAGTGTATATAATGAGGAATGAGTATTTCAATTTAGATAAGGTTACAGAAATGCCTTTGCCATTCTTTGTTCTTAATTGATTTCAATATAAAAACATAGGAGATGACACCCTCCTCTAACGCATACTTACACCGCAACCACATGAGCTTTTAGGAAGTGTTTCAACCCAGGATTTCACTGTGAGATTCATGCTAATTACTTTAATAGCATCTCATTTTAGTCAGAACCCTTCTGGTACACGGAAATCATGAAATCATTATTACAATTTACCTCAAACCTTTATGGAAGCAACAGTAAGAATTAGAAAGCCAAATGACAGACAAAATGTTTGTAGTATTTTTACCTTTGAAGTTTAATGTAAAGTACATTGCAACATCGCTCTCAAACAGGCATTTCCACTGCTCTCACTCCTCGTCCCAGGACACCAGTTGAGGCAGCGGACTGAAAGCTCCTTCAGCACACATGAAACTAGATTAGTTTTCCAGACTGAGGATGTAGTTCCATGAAAGCAAATTGCTTCTTTGAGCCAAGGAGCGGTACGGGCCATCTTTTGGGAAGCAGAGGCAGAACCGTGCCCTCCACCCAGTCACTCTTTGAAGCAATCGAAGACCGCTTGTTTTTGTTCAAAAGTGAAGGGCAAACCCAAAAACACGCTTAAAATTTGGAATGACAGAAATACCAGATTGTAGTGAGGGGAGCATAAGGTACTGAGATGCTCTTCCCTGCCTTGACCCCTGGCTTGACCATGCAGGGTCTAATTAGGGCCTGCAGTATAGGGTTATCAGTCCAAACACTGATACATCCAACACATCCTATGAGCTCAGAGTGAAGATAACTCACACAACCGTTGCAGTTAAGCAGAGATGCAGTCTTTGTAACTGCATTTGATAATTGCAGCAGCACAGGAAGTTGCAGCAGTCACTTCTACAGAACTGGGAACGATTTTGGCAGCTGAATACATCATAAAGAGACCAGGGTTTAGTTTATATGTGTCCTTGCTTGGAGCTCATTTTAAGGAACTGAAGTTTGTGCCGCAGACCTAGAACCAGTCCGACTGCTACAACAAACTACCTAAGCGCGTTTCTAGCCGCTGTCCCCCGGCTAAACAAGGTGCCATGTTCCCAAATCCCCGCTGCTGCAGTTACCGAAGTGACAGACGGACTTCAGACTTTCCCTCAACACTGTGCTCCACCAAACTGCCCGCTTAATAACTGGAGTTGCTGTGAACACCCTTGGTGGTGTTTATTAGACTTTTCTTCATACATTAGCTGTAACTCCCAAGCGGATTTATCTCTTGTAGACCAAGAAAGGAGCGGGGGTCAGAAAAACACTCCGCAGGCGCTGGATACAGAGGATGAAAGGGATGCTCTGCGTTTGCGTGCGACTCCTGCCCGGTGCAGGCGACAGGCGCCGGGCACAGCGGACACGGTAACACGCAAAGGTGCCTCAGAACATGAGGGTTCCCCCCCCCCACATGGAGCCTTGTCTCCCCTCACAGGCCGGCACCTCACGGCTCAGCCCCCCGAGCTCGCCGGAAGGAGCGCGGTGCTGAGGGCGGGCTGGGAGGCGGAGCTCGGCCTCGCCGGGGAAGGGATTGGCGGGGCGGCGGTTTCCTCGGCAACGGTTCAGGCGGCGGCGGCGGTTGTTGGCGGCGGCCGGGCCGGGCCAGGCCGACATCTCGGTGCGCCGAGGTCTGTGCTGCGGCCGCGGGGGAGCCGGAGGTGGCGGGGGCTGCTTGGGCGGCCCTGGCTTCCTGTCGGGAGCTGTGGGCGAGGGAGCTCGCACCTCCTGGCGGTTGCTGCGGCAGCCGGAGGTGGCCTTGCCTGGTGAGGTTCGGGGCCTCGGGGCAGGAGCGCCCGCTGCCAGGGGTGATGCTGAGGGGGGCTCGGCGGAGGGAAGGGGAGTCCCATCGTGAGCGGCCCGGCCGCCCCCGGGGCTTCCCTGCTCCGGTCCCATGCGCTTGGAGGGGGGGGGGACGGACGGACGTGCTGGGCCGCGGGTACCGAGTGCGGTGGGACTCGGTGGTCCTGAGGAACAAAACAAAGTATAGCTAGAGTTTTAAATGATGCCGATCGAAAAGAGCCTTCTGTGGGTGGCTTGGGCAGCTTTGGTCTCTCACCGTTTTCATTTAAATTAAATGGACTTCTAGTATCGTTTAGTTTGGAAGGGGCCTCTGCAGGCTGTCTGCTGTGATCGCTGCCTCAAAAACTCAAACCCCACGGTGTGTGTAGCACTCTGCAGCCTGAGGCTTTCGGCGCAGCGTGCCCGATAATGGGGTTGGTGGATTGCGGTGTCTTGATTTGAGCAGGCTGTGCCCGGCCGAGCATCCCGCAGGGGAGGAGTGTGCAGCAGGTCACCGCTTGTCGGCACGCTGTCCATCCCTGGCTTGTTTTCAGGGGGCTGGCTGCCTGGTTAGTCACAAGTGATCATCACTGATGCCTCAAACTCATGGGGTTTGATAACGAGTTCCTGGACCGGACTCTTATCTTAAATGATTTTAGGATATGGCTAATATATGCTATATAGCACAGTAGGCTAAACATGAGCTGGCAGAGAAAGGAACCTGTGCCAGCTGTAACTGCTGTAACCTCACAGCTGAGGAAAAGAATGAGGAAAAAGGGAGAGGGCAGGAAGTCAAGGGTACATTTTTCCTGCTGCACCCTTATCCAAATGACTTTGCTGACTGTTTCGGAAAACTACTAGAAAAAAAATGGCTGTAGTTAAAACGTTGCTAGAAACTTGTCAAAGTACGTGTATTTGGGCTTTTAGGTTTGACAGTGAAGTCCTGGTAGTATCTTTCAAGTGCTTACATTTTCTCCTTTTTCATTTTAAGAGTACTTGCAAGGTATTTTTCTGGACCTTGTAATCTAGACTGTCTAGCTAAGTCTCTTGATTGGACTAGAAAGTAGTGTGTCTTGGAGCAGGGTTTTGTCAGGTTAATTTGCTAATAAACAGTAAGCCTTAATCTGCCTCCAGAGTTGTATATTAAAAAGGGAGTGGGGCATAAAACACAGGGAGTTAGAAGGAAAAGAATTACTGTTTTTTTCTTTGAAGGAATTGCTATAACCAATATTGGGGTTGTTTAATCCAGTGACAGCAGCGTGTGCTGTTACATACGTAGCCGTTCTTTACTCTTGAATCAAAATCAGTAGATAAAACCTTAAAAAGGATCTGTATTAAAAAGGAAAACAAAATCATAGTGTAAGCAAAGGTGATGGCTTATGGGACTTTATTAAATTCAAAGATTTTTAAATTATTTCTATTAAAATGCAGTAAATAATCATTTTAAAATCAGTTACTGAAGAAGTGAGACCAAACGTTTGTTATCGACCTTTTTTCCTCGTCCTCCTCCTACTATGATTTCTGGGGTGATTAACACCATGATCTGAGTTGTCCACTGCTGTGTGTTCTGTTATTGATGGAAGATGCAGCTTTCACCACTGCTCAAAAATCCTCAGGCATTCATTAAATGCTTTACTATTGAATGTGTCACAAGCATTTCAGCTGTTTGATTGCTGAAATTACAGTTCATTCAGGGTAGACAAGGGTTATCTTCTTTGCCAAGTATGTTCAGCCAGGTACTGTAAGGGAATGCGTGATGTAAGCAGCTTGGAATATGCTACTGCCAGGTAGCTTCAGTCAGTGTCTGGGCAGGAGCAGGAGCTTGGCATCTACTTGACATGAGGGTGAATGTTACTGAGTCTGGCTTCATGTCTGTTGGATCTGTTATAATCAGTTTCTATTTGTAGTGAATGAGTTCCTAATTTATACATGTTAATATCAGCAAAGCCTGTTACAATTAGAGTTTGAATTGAATTGACAGAAGGTACTTGATTTACTTCAGGGTTCAGTAAATGATGTAGCAGGTGTTAAGAAGGGAAACACTGTTTGCTTTGTTGTCTAAATTATGATGACTGACTGGGCTACTGACAGTTTGAAATAAAATGCAGTGGTCTTCCTTTGATTTCAGTTTGGTAGAAGGCAAGGAGGAGTTGCCGTTGTGTTCCTATTTGGACTGCTCGGCATCATGGCAATATTTCTACCCAGTGAATCAAGGACATTGTATTATATAGACAGGGCTATAAACGGCCAATCTACTTTTGTATCAAGGCTTCTTCACTCTAATCAGCTTACACTCCATTTGCTTAGTATACCAAGCAAACCTGCTGTGACAGTGTTTGTGTAGTGTCTTATTCACTCTGTCCTTTAAAAAGTTTAAGGACTTCTTAGCCACATGCCCACCTACTGTGCTGGCACAGCTGTACATGTTATGGTTTTCCAACAGCCATTTCCTTCTCCGATTTTCTGAACAACAGGTGATCCCTGTGTATTCGAGCCAGAACTATGGGATTGTTTGACAAGCTAGCAGGATGGCTCGGGCTGAAGAAAAAGGAGGTTCACGTTTTGTGCCTTGGCTTGGACAATAGCGGCAAAACAACGATCATAAATAAACTTAAACCTTCAAATGTAAGTAGCCTACTTAATTCACTGTTGCTGTTTTTACTGCAAAGTTGATGTTTGTTTAAATTGGTTTTGCATGCTGTCATACTAAATACAACCTTGGAAGGATGTGAAGAGCTTTTTGATTTAGTACAGTGGAACAAGTACATTTTAAGGATTTCTAACTACTTGAAACTAAATGTAAGCATCCATGTCCATATCATGAATACAGTTCCCAAACCCCACTGTTAATATGGCATGTTTTTTCTAAGATCACTAAATAAGGAAGGGTTTATGATGAAATCAGGATCTGAAACAGTTTTCCTAGGTCACTTAAACAATTGCTATAGGATTGCAGTTACGAGTGATGTGTTGAACATTTGTGATTAATACAGTTGTGTAACAGCTTGTCTGCATTTATCATGTTTATTTTAATATCTCCCTGAGAAATAATAAGTCTATAATAAATAATAAATGTGAAGATGCACATTTATTGGTGACTTCAGCATTTTTAAAGCAGAATAGCTTTCAAAATAAGTAGCATGTATATTTGCAGTCCATTCATCCAATGAAAAGTGCTTCAGCCCACTAAGAGTGAATAGTATTCTGAGCAAAGTTTAAAGTCGGATTACCTTGTTTCGAGTATGTTTATGGAATAGAAATAGATTAATTTTGGTGGGCATGTTCAAAGCCAGAGGCTTGTGCATCTTGGTTATTATGCATCTAGGAAACCGTGATTTTTGCTGTTTACATCAGGACACAGCATTTGTTTTTTTAGTTTCCACTGAGCTTTTCCTGAAGAGTACCACTGGAAATTGATTAAAAAATGTACCGTAGTAAAGAGTCTGCTATTCTTCCATTCCTGGCAATTATTCTTCCACTGAAAATTAAAGAGTTTTATAAACAAAGACTATAAATTATTCGTTATCTGCTGCCAGTCATTTGGCAGAAATGTACAATTTGTACCAGGCAAATCATATATTTGTGTAATTTTTGAGACCTTTGTTGTAGCAGGGTTTTTATGTTGTGTCTTAAGCAGTAAAGGATTCCGAACTAGAGCTGAATACAGACTTTAAGATTTATCACAACAATAGGTATTAGAGAAGGTCCCAAGGGAATTACACTAGTAGAATAAACAGAATTTGTTTGCTTTCCTGTAAATCATGTAATGAAAATTTACTTCTGAATGGCTTTAGGAGGGTAGTTTTGCATACAGCTTGTGTGAGTCCTATCCTTGCAAGACATGACAAATTCTCTAATGTGCAACAAATGTCATTTGATCAGACTTGATTAAATTGATTATTATTAGTAAGTTCAATGGACAGATGATTTTGAGCTCTAGATCAACCCAGTCTTCTTAAGAAGAGCTGCTACTTTGCCTTGGGAGCAATACGTTAGGTGTCTGGCAAATACAGGTGTTTCTCCAGGGCCTAATAAATAAATTTGAAATAAATGTTAAAGAAGTAAGATTTCTTCTACTCTGCACAAATTTTTTCCTTGGGAACAGGAACTTTTGACTAAACTGTTTACAATGGTGAAATGCCAATTTCATAAGGAAGCTGCAGGTGAACAAGCTAAGTTTGCTTCTGTTATATGCAAAATGCTATCTATAAGCAGTTGACATGTTTAATAAGGGGCTCTGGAAAGCACAATGAAGGATTGCATGTCACTTTTTCAGGTAGCTCTATAATCTAAGAAATGTTACCTGTCTCCCTACTCAATATTGATGCTTCTTAAAAGAGTTACCCTGTTGTTCCAACTTAACTGATGGGCACTTTTGCTAGCTCAGCAGTAAACCTGGTTATCAGGCAGATCTCTTAATAATGCTTTATGGTTTGGCCATAATTATGGTAAGTGATGATTTCTTCCAATGCTCTAATAGTTTGAATTCACCTATGGTTAAGCCATTTGATAACGTCTGCTGTATAATTCCCAATGTCTAATAACCTCCTCCAGCCTGTGGACAGAAGCTGTGTGTGTGGCCAATCTAATATCTTGATAGAATTATAGCTTCTTTTATGTAAGAGGCTTGGGGTGTTGTGCAGACTTGTTTGGGTTGACATTGTGGTTTCCAGACTGCACAAATAGTGCGAACTTTGACCTCAGTCATATTCTTCAAGCTTATAACTTCCATGTTAGCCTATTTTCTATTTATTTTGCAGGTAATATTCCCATATATGCATGCACACAGGCTAATGTAAAGGGTAGAATCTCATTCTTGATGGTAAAATGTTTTCAGCGCTATTGTCCGATAGCATTCACTGTATGTCCTAGGAAATACAAAACCTTGAGTTTGAATTACAGTACTTTTCTGGGAACTTTTTTAATATAAAGCATCTGAATTTGTAGAAAGGCTTTGTATTGCACAGTTGGGGGAAAAATAGTTCTGTAATGTATTCATGTTTCAAATATATTTAAATATTTACATGTTTCAACTTATACTTTCTTTCCTTTAAAGGCTCAAACTCAGGACATTGTTCCAACAATAGGATTCAATATAGAGAAATTCAAGACTTCGAGGTAGTAGCTCTTTCATTTTCTTCATTTAGGAGTAGTAATTAATATGTAATATTTGGACTTAATTAGCTCTTCTAGTGGGATGTAATGGAGTACAATGTATGGTGCTACAATAACATTACATGCCATTTGGTGAAACGTTGTAGTACCCAGGAGTCATGATCCGGGACTGACAGTGTTAGAATATATTCTATCTTTTGTGCTGCTATAAAACTATGTATATGTAAAAAAAACAAAGTTTTTGCAATAGTTTGTATAAGCATCTGATTTCTGTCTGTTAACAATTTCAGAATAGGGCGTTGTTACAGTCTTGGGGAGAGACAGTTGCTCAGATGGTAACCTATATTTCATTAAGCACTCTCACTGGAGGGAGTCTGAAGGGATTGTAGTTTAATCTCATTAAATGAAAAATGGTGGCTACAGTGTTAGTGATGGAAAGAATGCAGGGGCAAAGGTCAGGAAAAGGAGAAGGAAATCATTAGTTGAATGAATGCTAAGATTTAGAAAAGGAATGTTGTGAGACAACGATACTTCAAGGAGGTATCATTAGCTATTATTTTATTTTTCTGTAGCCTGAACAGTGTATTTTTAATGGATGCAGTACGTCTTCAAACCAAGTAGCGTGCCCAACTGGATGAGAGATGTGCAAGAAAACTGTTTATTCCTTGGACTGATGTGTGGGACAGATAGGGTTCATATTTTTATAGGAGGCTCAACAACTATATTCTGTCTCAGTAAAGCGCATCAGACAGGCTTGGGGTTTGGCTACATAAATCAATTAATATTGCTTTCCTTTGTTCTGATCCTGTAGTAGGACAGATGAACTGCAAATGCACCATGTAGCATGATGGATCCTGACATGATAAAAAAAATAGAGGCCGAATGGGATCTTACTTTGTGTTTGATGTAACTTTCCATAATCGTTTTATTTCTTTTATTCAGAGAATAAACAAGCATATTTTCCACTGTGAAATATTTCTGTAACATGACCACAAAACTGTGTAGGATATTTGGAAAGCAGATAGAATAACCAGAGTCCATTTGAGAATCTTTATCAGTTGATCAGGAGTCAAGCTGATCTGTGTTTTTTTTCTGCCAGGGTAGCAAAGAAAATAGTTTGGGTTTGGGTTTTGTTCTTTGCCTCACACACCTTTTTTTGTCTTTTTTGCAGTTTATCTTTCACAGTGTTTGATATGTCAGGTCAAGGGAGATACAGAAATCTATGGGAACATTACTACAAGTAAGCTTATAATTTATTTTAAAGCATTGGTGTTCATATTAGGTGGTGTTGTATGTTACTTAAACAGCAGGATGATACCTAGTGGTTAGAAATGATTCAGAGAAGACTTGCATGTGGTGTTTAACAGAAGGTCATTCTGGATATAAATAAAACTTCTCTGTTCTAAAAAAATGATAATTGCTATGTGCTGTTAATCAGCATCATCTGGGGGACATCTTGTTGACTTAAAGATTAGCTGATGATCCCATAGTAGAGACGGGATTTAAATGTTGAAAATCAATCCTGTAAGAAAGCACCAAGATGAGTTTGGTTTCCAGTTTTTCTGTTCTTCTGTAGGTTGGTAAGAACCAAAAGCTTTTAGCTGAAGGCTGAGCATTTTAGAGGTGTGGGAAACGAGCCTTAGAGAAAGAGGCACATGTAGCTAGTAACTTGACCAAGTATTCTTAGATGTTAGTTACTAAGTAGAATATTCATTGTATTTTATAATGCTATGGTATTCCCTTGTGATAATAGACATCATTTCCTGGTTTACTGGCTTCTCATGAAGTTTGAGTCTTCATTTATGTTGTCTCATTGTTATTCTGTAATATGGGTGGTGGTCTAAATAAGGTGAACAGTAGTAAGCCATGCAGAAATACCTGAGTGAAACAGAATGGATAAATTCTGAAGATTACAATACAGATTAAATAAGAATATTTAACATGATACAGCTTAAAGTATTCTTTAATTGAGGGTTAAACATCTCCTTTCTGTGCAAAATATGTGTTACCAATTTGAAAATTTCCTGTGTGGGTAGGAGATCTTCATTGTTCAAAAGTGTTAGATGTATGTCTTCCAAATCTTTTGGTTTTCAGTAACTGATGCCCTTAGGCTGCTCTCAAAATGCTTCATAACAAACTTTTTCCTGACTCCTGTATTTAATGCAGTAACTTTTCCTTTGTGTGGCATAAACAGTTTTTTTCATCTTAACAGTAAGAAAGTTTCTTAGGTAATGCTGACAGTGAAATGTGCACTTATATCCACCTGTTTGTGATCTGCTGCAGTGGGCACATATTTAAGGTTAACCTCTATGAATAATATAAAACTAATAATGTGTTGTTCAGTTTGTAAAGTTAAGCAAGATCTAATGTTGCAAGTAATGCAAAATGGCAATCAGATCTGATCAAGTGTCTTAAATAGTTGCTTTGGAGTACTTGCAGCTTGGCCTTTTCTTCTATTTGGCTTGACGCTATCTTATAGGATGTCCTCAAAGTACACTTGTCTTAAATATACGTAACTCATGTTGTGTACCCATTGCTGTTACTTGTTTGTGAGGTTATTTTTTGGTAGTAAATACATGCCAGGACTCCGATTCCTCTAGAAAAAGTACTGTATGCTCATAAATATTACTTAGGCATTTTCAACTAATATGCAAAAGCTTTACTTGGTGTCAGAGTTCTTCTGTACTCCAGAAACGAAGGGGGGGGGGGAAGGGAGTGTAAATAATGTATGTGTAATTGTCTCTCAGGGAAATATAAGGAGACATGGATATTACATTAAAGTGTGATTTAGAAATATTTTTGTGGGTGTTCATAACTGTTCATCTGAATTAGTCTTTATTTTGCTTTCAGATAAGTTACAATAGACATCAAGTCATAAAATATCATTTGTACTCTGAAATAATGAGTTGGATAGTCAAGGGGAAATTGTTTTAAACTGAAAGAGGGTAGATTTAGGTTAGATATTAGGAAGAAGTTCTTCACTATGAAGGTGGTGAGGCCCTGGAACAGATTGCCCAAAATAAGCTGTGGCTGCCCCATCCCTGGCAGTGTTCAAGGCCAGGCTGGACAAGGCTTTAAGCAACCTGGTCTAGTGGAAGGTATCTCTGCGTGTGACAGCAGGGTTGGAAGTAGATGATCTTTAAGTTCCTTTCCAACCCAAACCATTCTGTGATTCTATGACATGGTGTTTAGGAGCTGACTGCTAAGCTGTGGTCATGTTGGCAGCAAGATGTCTTGATGATTAGAAATAGTTGGAAGTTTTTACCCATTATTCAAAGAAAAGAAAGATCCTTACTTTTGTAAGTTACATTAATCCGCATATGCCTGTTGTTAAACAGCTATGGACACATGCTTTTTTTCCTAGAAAGGTAATTAAGCTTTCTCTCACTAAACTTAGTGTAGTGAACTTAAATAGTGCAGGAAATGAAGAATTTCTACAAAAACCCATCTTTAGATTTCCTATGTCTGACCACACTGTCACAATAGCAGTTGATTACATTTTCAGAGGTCATTTTTCAGCCTCAGAAGTGAAATGAAGCTCTTCTGAAGGGTCTGCATAGACTCATCCTTTTATGAGCTACACAGCTAAAAAACCTTGTGTCGCAAAAAATTAAGCAGGTTACCAAAAGACTGAATTTCAGAAATAAGGCTGGATTCAAACATTTATGGTAAATAACAACAAAATTTCGGGGGGGGGGGGGGGAAGCTCAGGTTTGGGTTTTTTTGGTGTTTCTTCTGGAGCCTTTCCTTAATCTGTTTAAGAGAACCTGTAATTTGCCTCTTTGCTTTTTTTATGTTATGCAGAGAAGGCCAAGCCATTATTTTTGTCATTGATAGCAGTGACAAATTAAGAATGGTTGTGGCCAAAGAAGAACTTGACGCCCTTCTGAATCATCCAGGTGAGGAGGCTTTTTCCTCTTCTGTTTCCGTATTTATTATGTTGTCTTAAGAAAAGCCCTTTTCTGACACATTCTGCATTCTGAGTAATATGCAAATATTTTCGTCATCACGAATACTAGAATAATAATTGCCTTCAAAAAGTTCACATTTACAAATTGTTCATACTTCAGTTGGCTACCCTGGGTTGGATTGGTCTCATTGATCAATATAGCTCAAAAGTTGCATTGTTTAGAGGAAGAATAGACTTTGACCCTTTGGAAGCTGAAAAGCCTGTATGTGATGATCAACACATACAAAAAAGTATCTCTCTGGAGTTTTCATGAAGAAAGCTAATTCTTTTAATGCAACTTTTATTTTCTTATCTTCATTATCATTTTAAAGTATTATTACACTTTAGCCAGAAATAAGGAGAGGTAATTATACAGATCAGTTTCAATTGCTAGTAAAAGGATACAGGGGATGGAAGAAGATATGAGATATGACCAGGGGAGTGGGTTTAGGGGTTTGGAAAGTTTAGGGGTTTAGTGGGTTTAGAAAGCTACACTTTCTCAATCGAGTTCTGAGATTAGTCACTTCTTTGCTTCTCTGCCCTCCCCTGTAGCAAACATTATTGGAATGGTTTTTGTAAGCAGTATGCGGATTTGACTTTCAGCACTTTAGGCAGTTGTTCTAACCAGATTATAAAACTGCATATAGGAAATTTAAAAGTTAAATGAACCTGTAATTCCTTTTTTATTTGTTAAGGTGGAAAAGCCTTAACTTCTGGGGTTATCACGCTGAAAGTAAGAAAGAAGAAGCTGATTTGCATTTGTAATCAAGAAAATTAGTATGTGGTAGGGGCAGTTATATTGCTGTGTTTGTGTTTTCCATGAAGGCTGCATATAATGCATTAGTTCATCGACAAAGATGCTGTAACAGAGGTGTGTGTGAGAGCTGACTGGACTCTCTTAATTTCATGTTCAAGGGTATGGGTCATTTCAAGTGCAGACACTGAAAGACAGACTTGGAAAGGTGAAAGGGGAGGATGAGTTCATCCAAAGGCTGCAGGTGGATTAGATAGAGGCCAGGGAACTTTGTACCAAAACAGATATTAACCACAGTAGTAAAAGGTGATTCTGTTGGTAAAATGGAAGCCACATAAGACCAAGTGTGGGAGGTTGAGAGTGCTGTAATAAGTTACTGGTTTATTAGAAGGCAAAAGAGTGAAAATGTCAAGACTGAGGAGATGCAAGCTTAGGCGGGGCTTTTTATTTAGGCATTAAGAGGTTCTTAATGCTGATCTAGCAGGTCAGCACAGTTCAGTTGTTCATGTGTTTGTATCTTTTAGTTCTGAAAGACTGTGGCTATGGCCACCTAGTATATTCCCTAGGACCAGGAAGGGGCAGTTGTGTATTTCTGCCTTGGAGTAGCTCAGATCAAATGCAGCATTATTATATTTCTAATTTCAATAGGTCACACCTAAGAGAACCACAGAGAAGGAAAAGTTCTTCTAGTAGTAATGTTTGATAAAAGTAGCTGTTAACTGAATCAATATATAACGGGGTTACTATACCTACGTTTTTACTTGTATTACTGTTCAGCATCCTGCACACCCTACTTTCTCCCAGTCTATGCTTCTGCCTCTGTGAACCTCTTGCAGTGGATTGCATTTACATGTTTACTTAAGGTTTAAATGGATGCAGGGTAACAAGCTTGATTCAGTTCTTGTGTGAAAATCTTAGCAATCCTTTAGAAAAACAGTTCCCTCTCTTTTTGCCAGACTTTGCCTGAGGTTGTCAGGTGAAAGGGAATGTGTACTGTGAAGCATTAATGGGCATAATGTACTGGCTGGGACTCTTGTAATTCAGAACTAGATATTATTTTTACTTACAGAAGTTACAATGCACTTTACAAGTCACAGTTTGATGATCACTGTTATTTTTATATCAAACTCCATTCTTCAGCATGGAGTCTGTAGATGGGAGATGTAGATTACTTGTTTTACTTGGAGACGGTAGACCATAGATTACTTGTTTTAGATACAGACTCTTGGGTCACTTGACCTCCAGCATGTGCTTCTAAAGCAAACTGACACTTCTGTAAAGTTGAAATTCTTTGTATAAAATTATACATCACACATATCTAATCTGGGGGGGGGATTTTTTTTAATGTGTTAACTCATAACTGCTTGTAAGTAGAAAATTTTACTTTCCATTAGTAAGTATAAAAAGGGGTGGGGGAATACTGTATAGAAAGAAACAATGTGATAAGGTAGGACATAATGGCAATTTCTGTGACCACCACTTTATTTAGCAAACATCTTTAAGTATACATTTTTGAGTGTACATTTATGTGAATAGGTTGTGCCCCCTTTTAATTGCTTTAAAAAACCTAAGAAGTCCTTGATTAACTTGGCTATTTGTATATGTGTTATCAACTAATTTCTATCAATTTATCTATAACCTGCAACTTGTGGATACTAGGGTTCATGTAATGATATGACAGATTAATGCAGAAGTTTTAATCAGTTGAACAAAACCTGTTCAACTGTGGAATCAAAACAGATTTAATGATACTTTGTTCTGTATTTTGAGGTCTGGCTTTTGTGCTAGGTGATACCAGAAAATAAAGTAGCCCAGATAGGGTAAATAGTTGTGAAAATTGTGAGCGCTTTGCTCAGCATTTCTGATCTCTGTGTCTGGGTAGACAGTGTTACCTGCACTGATTTTTATGGAAAGGTTCAGTATGGGGGTTGAAAAAAACGTAATTGGGAAGGCTCAAACTGCATCAGCGCTGAGTTTGTTGGGGTTTTGTTTTGTTGGGTTTTTCTGTTGTCCCATCATGTCGTGTCCCACCACTCCCCCAGCAGGGACAGCTGGCTTATGGTTGAAGTTCTTAAATAAATCCTTAGCTTGTTCCTTTGTGAAATAACCTTTGCTTTTTACTGTTTAAAAAGGAGCCTGTATAACAATTTTCTGGGGGCTGGGGAGTGTTAAGTTATTTTTCCTTCAAGAATTGATTGATAGACTCAAATCTAGATTTTCTAGATTTTTCCAATCCTGTAATTCCTCCTTTGTTTGAATAACGGGAAAAATTCTTACAGTTAGTGTTGGTGCTGGCAGTTTTGCATCTGTCAATTTGAAGACAGTATACTTTGTCTCCTTCCAATGACTCTTTAGTCTTTCATGGTAATGGGTGAAGCTTATGCTCTTGAATGTGTATGCCAGATATTGCCAGTGGACTTGGTTTGGTCTGTAGTTCTTACTGCTAGCTGAGAAGAGCTTCTGAAAAGTAAGTTCTTCAAGTGAAGATAGGATAAGGGATGTCCAGACATGTGCATGTTTTCCTATCTTATTAATTTTATGACGTCATGGATGCTCTTCAGGATGCAAAAGGATAATTCAGACTACCTGCAACTATTGTTGTGAGGTTATGAATGAGCACAAATCATTTTTCTGTCCATTTTACACATCCAGTCCTCAACAAGCAGAGATGTGTAATATCTGTAGGCAGTTGCTTGATCTCCTGTTCCTCAGCTTCACAGGCAATTTATACCTGCAGCTGTAAATGTAAGTATAAGGTAGGGGGAAAGGGGGTAGAAGATCCCAAAGACTCCAAGAAAGTTTGTGAGCATTCTTGAAGCATGCTTCAGAGGCCATGTGACCCAACAGTATTCAACTTGGTAGGATACAACCATCAGAGAATTGCAGTTACAGGTGAGCAAATATCTTCCTGTACTGTTCGTAGCTTATTACATGTAGAGATTAACAAGTGTTGCATAATGCCATGCTAGTTCTGTTTCTGCTCATGTCTAGATATAAAGCACCGTCGACTGCCTATTCTCTTCTTTGCTAACAAGATGGACCTCAGGGATGCAATGTCATCTGTGAAAGTATCTCAGTTATTGTCATTGGAAAACATCAAAGACAAGCCCTGGCATATCTGGTAAATTTCCCTTTTGCTAGCCTTTTATTGGTATTACTTTTTACATTCATGTTTCAACTCTACCACGCCACTCAGTATCATATAACATAAATTACATCGACTGGATAAACTGCTGTGTTGCCACATGTGGAAACAGTAGTAATATTAAAATACTTGCTATGAAACTTGTTTTAAACACATGATGTTTTCATGTTGACTGTGGCTTGATAAATTTTCACACTAGAACTGTTCCCCAAATAATGAAATGGAAAAATTCTATTGAAATCAGAAAGCAGTGTTCTTATCTGAAGAATAGCTATTATTTTTTGCTGGGAAATTGAGTATCAGTGTTTTTATTATTAGTACTGCTTGCAGCTTTCAGAATATCAACAATTAAGCCTTTAGAGATGTTATTTAACTCTCCAGATGCTTTAGTAAACTACTGTTGAAAGGCCATTTAGTAGATTGTTCTCATGTGAACTCAGAGGGACACCATGCTCTTTGTACTTTGTAATGTTTGAGGGATTTTTAGTTGTGGGAGCTACTGTCTTTTCTTTCTGAAGGATGTAAGCTTTCATATCAATAGAGGGATTTTGTGCCAGTGTTCACAAGGAAGAAAAAAAAACCTTTTATTAGAAGTGTTTTATAGAAGTTAGATTTTTGTCTTATTGAAGTCCTCAGATACTATAATTAGAGGTGAAATCAGCAGCTAAATGCTGTTGAAAACTACAGTTTTCATTTATGCCCTTTCTAATATTAAACTTGATTAGCTGTGCATTGTTTTGGGGTCACTGCTTTTTGTCTCAGAAATTACCCTGATGAATTCTGAAGATCTTTGGAAGGTAATCTTACAACTAACCACAGTAACAGTCCAGATTCAATGCTGTGCTAGTTTTCATAAGCTGAAGAAGCAAGGTTATACCCCTGTGATTCAAGAGGTAGATTTATACTCTTCTTGGTATAGCTTAATGTTGTATATATTAACTGACACTCCTAGGGTTGCTGTTACAACGAAGTGTACTATACTTTCTTCTCCCCATATTCCAGCATCCTCTCTGTGCGTAGGAACTGCATGGGAAGATGCTTCAACTCGATGATCTTAAAAGTCATTTCCAACCTAAATTATTGTATGATTCATCGCTGTTGTTGTAGGTAGTAAACATTTTTTATAGCATAATCTGAGCAGGGAGTTATCTAAATGGAGGTGCTGCAGAACAAGGTGGCTGCCTTGTGTGGGACCTCTTTCAGAACCCTTCATATTCTAGGAATAATTCCTCTGCCTTGAAACTGAAATTAAAATAGATCACATCTTGAAATGGTGTTTCCATATTTATCTGAAGGGTACTCTAGAATATATCATTTGAGAAGCAGCCTTCTCCATGTGAAAACTTAACTGTATTTGATGCTGTTTTGCAGTTCTGAAAATTACGAGTACAGTGATGACTGCACTAAACCCAGTATTTTTACAATATTTTCATACTTTGATTTTTTTCTCTTTCAGTGCCAGTGATGCTCTTAAAGGGGAAGGATTACAAGAAGGTGTAGATTGGCTCCAAGGTATATCCTATGTAATTCTCTTGCTCTGCTTTCATTCTGTTAAGCTTTTTCATGTTGTAAGGGTTTTTTTCTTTATTATTTCATTTGTTTTCTTTCTGTCCATTTCTGCTGTCAGATCAAATTACACAGTGAGTACTGATGCTCCATCTCATATTTGCCTTTCATTTACCTCCTTAACATACACAAAAGATCATGTCCGTTTCTCTGACAAAAACATGTACTTTTAATCTAGTGCCAAAATACGAACAGCTTACACTGCAAATATCACAGAATATGCAGACACTCATAACTACATAGAAAATACCAGATCCAGCCTAGAGGATGTATTACAAGTTTTTAATAACAAACTTGGTATGGATGCTGTATATCCCTCTGGTTGCATGTTGGTAAGGATCTGGTCCGTTTTGTCCTCCCATATACTGCTAAATGCATAGAATAGTCAAGTGTAGTATTGTTTTGGTAGACTCATTCTAATTTTAGCTGCTTAATTTTCGTTGCTTACACTGTGTGTGTACTAAGTAGTGCAGTATAATCTGAATCTGCAAGTTTCTCTGTACTGGCCTGCTGGCTGCTATGGCAGCCGCTAGATGTCAGCGATGTTCCAGAGTCAGTGCCACTAAACCCTTCCTTCAAAAGGGAGCTAAACAATATCCAGCATTGTCCGTGATTTAACATATCTTCATTTATCTATTGACACCAGACATCCCTTTGTATTTAGCATCCTCACTGCTAATTAGAAAGAGATGGTTTATTTTTACTGTGTTATTACAGACTACAAAAAACATTTGGTCCAGTTTTCAGAGTAAGGGACCAAAAATAGTCTTTATAAACAGGTTTACTGCCCTACAGAAGAACAGTGGTTCATTCTCCACCATCTAAAAGTGTTTTGTGGTAGGCAACCAGCATCTTACTGCTGAGTTTCCTTCACTGTGTATCCCGTTATATTTTGTCTGAAAACATTCAAGTTGCATATGTGGATTTTTAAGCACAATAAGCAGGTGATTCTGCTGTCACTCTTATAGCTCTTCATAGCTATTCACTTCTCATGGATGAAATTCTTCATGGATGGGCTTTATCTAAAAGTTTCCTGTAACTCCTCAGCTCAGCTTCCTTAACAGCTTAAAAGGAGTTGGGTTTAAACCGTATTGTTGCCTAAGCATGTGCAGTTTGGCACTGAACTTACACTTTTAATGAATGAAAACTTTGATATTGCAAGAACTATGATTCTTCTCCTCATTCCTAGACCATGAGATGGAAAAAACTGAAATAACTCTTAAATTACAAAGGTCCCTAAACTACTGCCTGTGGATGCCATAGAATTCAATGGAAGAAATAACACCTTAATGAATGGTTAATGGTTTGATGAATGCTCAGTTCTCCCTCTCAGCAGCCAGGCTTTCCTTAGTTGGGTCTTTGCAGACCCGTTACTGGTAGTTCACAGACTTGGGGCAGCAGGGGCAGAAGGGTTTACATTTATTTCCCCCAGCTTAGTGAAGTGCATATTTCCCTGTTTTTGTAATGCAACAACACACCATCAGTAGGGTAAAGCCAACCTGTCTCACAACAGCCTAAACCCAGCTCACGTTCCCTGTTAGTGGGTGAATTGTGCCAATTTCCATATTTTGTAATGGGGATGTGGTATATTTATGCTAAGGAAATGTTTGAAGTGAACTGAGAAGTGACAGGCAGCAGTATGGAGAAGTGTGGCTACTGAGAGCAAAGAAGTTCTCAAGCAAGTTATTAAAAACCAAGCTTTACATCCTTTGGGGAGTTGGTTCATGTTCAGTTACACGGAAGCTGAAAAGTCAACAAGGAGTTAAAATGCATAGTTCATAAAGTAAACTTCTAGGCCTTATTCTCATAAAAGTTATTTGATAAGCCCAAAAAGAAAAGATAAAAGTTACGTGGTGAAGTCTTCCTGTTTAATTAGCAACATTCAGGAGAAACAACTTGGCTGTGGAGGAATTTTGGAAGAGGATGAGAGACCAAGTTGAAAACAACTGCATTGTCCCCCATTCTTGTTACTACACCAAAATATCTTTTGGTGTATGTCTGTAACCTGGACGATACTGGTTTATTTTGTTTTCAAAAAGCAGAATATAGCAAGAAGTCATCTTGTATTAAGACTAGCCATTTCTTTTTCTTAACAGAGCAGATACAAGCAAGGAAGACATGAGAGATAACTGAAAGATGGCGTTCTTTTACAGACTTTGTCATTAGGTGCACAAGTTCCTTGGAAAAGAATAATGATTTAGATAAAAGTTCAGCTAAATATACTCTGTTGACTTGTTCCCTTTTAGTATCTCTTCCCAGAAAACTGAATGTAGACAACATAGCACCTCAGGTATGCGCACTGATGAATTGAATCTTGTGACTGGAGAGCATATGTATTAAAAAGTATATATATTTCTGTTAAACATCTGCATTCATTTGAGTTTTAGGTGATAATCAGCTGTCGTGAAATGCCCCTCTGTTTTTTGGGGGGAGCATTTGGACACCTTTTGATCAAATGGGAATATTTATTTTCCTGAGAATGATCAGCACTTTCTGAAATACAGCTGCACGAGATACCTACTGATTTTAGGTGCCCATTTTTAGGTATTTCTGCATTTTTCTTATTGTAAAGTCTGATGTTGGGGTTTTAGTAACCATCTACAATAGGCTTCTAGAGGAATATTTTGATGTAAGATACAAGGATTTGAACGTTCAGTGTATTTGTTATAGATGATTGCAGATGTTTTTGAGGAACTGCTTTTAATGAAATGTTACAAATTGTTTCTGTAATATGCCATGGTTATATTTGCATTCAATAAAACTTCAAATATACAACATGCCATGGTAATTTTAAACTTATATATGTTCATTGATGGTCTTTATGTCTTAAATTTTTTGGTTTTCTGTTAGTTTCCTTTGGAATTTGTCCATTTTCCAATGGAAATAGCACTGTATACTGTAATAAAATGGCATCTCCTTTTCCAAGTGCTTTATTTTGTTTTTAATTGACTATATTTGTTACCGTTTCTAATAAACTAGACTGTTTTGCCAGATATTTAAGGCGCATATGGTTGAAAGCTACATTTTGAAAGCACAGTTAAGGGACGGTTTACTAGATCATTAATATGAAATGTCTTGTACTTCTCTTGTGTATAAAAACTGTTCTACTTTCAAGACTAATTTTTCCTAAATTTTCTGATTTCAAAGATGTATTATAGGTAACAAATGAAGACCTTTATTTTTGTTATGCTACCTCTTTCCCTTTTACCCCTCCTCCCTTGCCCAAGAAACAAGCAGACTGGCACTGTACTGATCAGCTGATTCCTGTGGGAGATGTAATATATGGGTCTTGCAAAAGCTTCCTCCCCTCTTTATTCACATATGAAACACACATATGTTTGTAAGCATCCCTTCTAGGGCTCACTTAATAGAGGAATATTTGGAGCAAAGGGCCCTGCCTGAAATGGTAGAACAGTTTTATGTACTTTTACCCCTTATTAAACAATTAAAATTAACTCGCTTTGCTAGAGGGAGGTTAAGTCTTGCTGTAAAAAAACCCTTTCTTACAGGATTCTGTAATTCAGACAGTTCAGTCTTTGTGACGCCTTTGGCCTTCTGTCAGCTCTGAATCTAAATATCTATACAAAATCGAATACAAAGGAGGAAAAACCCCGTAATTCTGAGACTTTTTCTAGCTGAATTGTGGGGCAGATAATTTTCTGGTTTACTTTGCATTGGTTAATATAGTAACAAAATAATCCTTGTTGGAAACCTTTTGCTGAGTGTAAGTATTTTGTAATTATTTTGGTTCACTTATATGGCTTATTTAAATAAAATGTTTCATTTTAAGTTGGCATTATTTATTTTCTACCACAGAAAATGTAAGTCCTAATATAAAAGCACTGACTTTCTTGAATAAACCAGACCTTGATGGCTTTCTGACTATTTTTGTTTATGTTAGACTACATGAAGTTCTATGTTTTCTCTCACTTCCAGAACATTTGTTACCTTTCTATGAACATAAATCTACCATGTTCATGGTGTACAGGCACAGGTCCCTAACCTACAAAGTTGGTACAGCCTTGAGTTGCTCTAATATCATTCAGTTTGGTACAAGGATCACATACTTCACAAAACCCTCATGCATCTTTGCAAAAAGGCTTCTTTGGACCTGTTTTCTGAGGGCTCAGTGGTTGTCACTCTTCAATGCTGTTCTCCCATTACGTTTAGGATGGTAAAATAATGTGTTCTACCTGGATGATCTAAGACGGTTTACATGTATGAGTTCATTGCACCTTAAGAACAAAGCAGACAAGTTCCTTTGGAGGTTTAAATGAGACTTTCAGAATATTCCTTTTTTCTTCATGTTACTATAAGTAAGTGTATTCATAAAGTAGGAACTTGAAAGGCAATAGAGTGACTGAACGTGATTATGAGAGAGTTTGGTCTTCACACCCCACACGTTATATGCTGTTGCTTCTGTACTCTAAGCTGCCCTTCTATGTAGTTATGCATTTCCTTAATATATGCCTGGTAATGCTTAAGACTGTAGAATTTTCAACTGAAACATGAAGCAGTCATTCTCACATACAGAGTGTTGCCTTCTTTACTAAGTGGGGGTTATCAGGTAAACGTGAATCCAAATTCTTTCTAGCCTTGCCTCTTTGGTACTGAGGATGCTTGACAATACAGGCTCCCTAGTAAGGAAAGTAGCCCCATCAAACTGCTGTTGTAGAGCAAGACAGTTGGTGCTGAGCACCTGATGTCCCCAGTCTGTGAGGTTTTGAGTTTCCTTTCAGCTTGGCTCCTTTCTGGCCCTCCAGACAGTGCCTCTTACTTGCTGGAGTGGGTTGGGCACACTCTGAGCTTTCCAGTGTACTTTCATCCAGAAAGAATTCAGTTTGTGTACTCCCAGCCTACTTTGAGATGTAAACAAAAGCAAGGGTGATCTTTAAAGTACCCTTGTGATCTGAGCTAGCATACTAATGTGGGCATGCCTGTACGAACTTAAGAGGAAAACAATCCCAAGGTATTAAAGCCAGAGTTGAAACCATGTAAAAGACTTGCAGAACTTGGCAAAAGGTGTCAATTCCAGTGAAATATCTAGTAAAAATACAAGTTTGTAGTACAGTCCAGTCAGAACTGGGAAAATTTATTCTGTTATTAAAGGATATAACCATTAGACATGGATTAAGTGGTAACAATTCCAATTTAGAGGAAATGGCATAATGTGAGTTGTGAAAAATAGGCAGCCATGAGTAAAAAGAGGAGTTATCAGCTGTCAGGCATCGTTGCTGTTCCTAGTGTCGTCTGTATTTATGAGCACAAGTTTAAAGTTGTTATTAGGGAAAAACTCTGCAATTTTTATATATGTATATATACTTCAAATCTCAGACTGCAAGTAAATCTGCATGTTTTAATCTTATCCACCAACGTTCATTAGCATAAGATGAACAGGAAAAAAGTGTCTAAAAATTGGTGTAATACGTAGCAAATGGATATAATGAACCAGAAAGTCTACGTTGTTTCAATTATAACAACAGTCCAAGAAAAGTTTCATCATTTATTATAATAGCAATGGATTACGTGGACGCAACTTGTTCCAATTTAACATCTTCATCTGGGACGTGATTTTGTCGGCCAGTAGTTACCTTCTTCCTTTAGAGGAGTAAAGATAGACAAAGGGTTTCTTCTCAAGGGTAGAATCTTTCAGCTGGGAAAAGTGATGCTTTTCTCTTGTAATAATTCTTCTTCCCTTTGTCGCCCTCCCTCTTCCTTAGATTTGTTTTGTTTTGTTAGGTTAGGTTTTCAAAGGGAAAGGCTTACTCTGTTTTGAGGTGCCTAGAACCCATGGATAATTGTCTGGGTTTGTAAGTCCTCTGCTGAGGTTTAAATTAAGTGCAAGTTAATGCTCTAAAATATTTCTGGCATCAGTTTCAAAGCAGGCTGAATTGATTTATAAACTAATCCAATCTAATGGTTAGCAAGTGTTGCTGCATGTTGCAATTAAGGTTTGACCCTTACCATTTCTTTAATTGTTACCATTATAAAATAAGAATAATAAAATTTATCTTGGTAAACAGTTGCAGCATAGCCACTTCAGTGCTGACTTCGGAGTAATTGCAAATGTACAGGCCTTTCCTGTTGCAGCATTACAGTTTATGGAGAGTAAAAAGCATATATCCAAACTCAACTAGTTTAGGAGGTAGGAGTTTGTTTTTTTTAGCATCAAATTTCCTTTTCACTCATTTCATAACTGTTAAAGTACTGCTTAGTTCTCTGTCTACTCTGTCACGCAATGGCTCAGAAAAGGATTTTAAAAAACCCTTTTGTGGGTAGTAAGTGTCATGCTTTCCTTGAGGTGTGTGCTCTGTCATCATGTCAGGTACTGCATTTTAATACATAAGTCCTTGATTAATGCAGGATACAAAATACCTACATGCTTTCTTCAAGGCTGTAGCAAAACGCCTAAGTTAAGTGAATGACAGTTGATCTGATGTTGGCATCATAATAGGAGCACTTCAATCAGTTCTTAATATAAAGAAGATTGTACAGCTTTATTTGGGGAATTGATTTAATGAAGAGATAATGTGAACCCTTCTTTTCAGCAGCAGTTCAGCATACCCTGAACGAAATTGGGAAGAGCTGCTGTACATCTAATATTTATGAGCTACAGTAAGTGCATGCTATACAATCCTATATTCTATTGCAGGGAAACCACTTTAGTCATATTACACATATTTTATTTGACTACAGCTGTACATTACATGCAGAAAATACTTCTAAAGAACAACATCAGATAAGAAGACTAAGTCTCAAGTTCATATCCCTGAGTTTTCATCTTTAGCCACACATGGTGTGTTTACTTTGCTGAGAAAGCTTTTCTTCTCTGACTTCAATAACAATGAATGCTTGAGTGAGGAAATGTGGATTATTCAGGACTGTTGTTCTTGGGTATTAAGAGAAATCTTTCCCCTGCTAAAGGTTCTGTGTGTTGAGCTTAAAAAAAAAGGGGGGGGGGGGGAAGGAGTGTTATGTATCCATGCTGTTACTTATCCAGCTAACTAGCTAACTATTCTGATTAACAGTCACTTGTGTTCTTAAAATCTTGGGCTTTAATTGTTCTTTCTTACCCTTTTTGTGTGTGAAACACAGAAGTTTTACATAACAGTAAACAGTATGCCAAGAATTAGACTCTGTTTTTCTGTTTGTGCTGTAAGAACATTGAAGTATTTTCTGCCTGTTTGGAATAACTTATGGATATAATTTGTAAACATAAGAAAAGGTCTTTTCTTTGTTTTCTTTTCTCTTTTTGTTTCTTCTGGAAGCTTAAATGAAGTGGATAAGAAAATGAGTTGTTCCATGAAACCAGATGGGATTCTGCAACATTTGCAGCCAAAAGCTGTTATGATCCCGTTTGACTCAAACCCGTAAGAATTCTGCTTGTTAGAGACCGGTGTCCGTCATTTCTACATACAGAATAGTTTGCAGTGTATTTCTCTGGACACTAAAGATGATTCTTCCATTTGGTATATACTGACATGTGCTTACTATGAATGTGGCAGGGTTTCCTGGTTAGTTTTTTAACACTATATATGTATATAGATTTTCTAATTGTGAGTAAAGGGCTCAGATCATTGTGTTAAAAGGTATTCTGTGTTGTGAAATGCAGCAGGACAGACAAAGGGGTGGGATTGGTGTGTCTCTTAACAGTGTTTTGCCATCAGTGGTTCTAGGAAGCTTTGGGATCCAGGGACCAGTTTTAAGAAATTCTTGAAAGGTAATGAAAAAAGGCAAATCTGCTGTCCAGAGGCTTAAGTTTACTGTACATAGGCTTGCACCATAATCCAAGACTGCTTAGTAATCTGGAAATTGAAAAGTGTACTCCTATGTAGATGCATGGAAATAGGGTAAGCCTTTAGAAAATTAGTAGTTTGATTTGATACTTGAAAGTGTAGATTTGTACAGAAACATGTATATTCATTTTTAACTACAAATCTGATATTCAAAAACAGTCTAGATGGAAAAGTGTTCAATGAACTACAGTGTACAAGTTGCTGGTTATATATTTAATGGATTTCCTCTATTTGCATGTAAGGCACCTCTACTCAAAAGCTCTTGCATTCTTCTGGACACTAAATTATTTCTGCTGCTTTTTCCCATATGTACAGTATATGTTAGAAGTTGGATAAAATTAGCTTACTAAAGCACTTTGACCATAATTTTGCTAGTAAGGATGGTAGTGAATAGAGAGATTGGCTTAGCAAGGAAGCACAACCCGGTATAGGATGGTTTTACAGAGACCTCGTTATATGAAGTGCAGATTTTCTTGAGTTCTAGTTAGAGTAGGGTGTTCTGCAATGATTAGCATTGGTAAGAGCACAAGTGAGTTTCATCTTTAGATTCACACGAGTGTAATTGATATGAGGTGCTATCAAAAATTGTTTGGAAGCCTTCCAGACAAGCTGTGCTAATCAGCTGAGAGTTATCAGCTCTATTGGAATTAACAGAAAAAGGACTTTGGTCCTCATCAAGAGTAGTTAGGTGCATGCATACTGCTATCATATGAGGCTTCTGAATGCTTTTTGTTCCATGCCCAAGCGCAATGAACGTCTGTTTTAAGAAGAGGTGCTGTAGATACGTTGGTCATCTTTCATTTTGTTCTGTACAATTAGTTTTCCATAGCACTTCTGCTACTAGATATATATAAATGCCACAGATTACAGTGTGGAAAACAAATTGGAGAGGCCTTCCAAAAAGCTGATTTAAAGGGGGTTTGGTTTTGTTTTGGGGTGTTTTTTTGTAATTACTACATTGAACTTTGGCCATAGGTGGCACAGTGAATAAATCTTGCCCCAAATTCTAAAGAAAACAGCTACAGCTCTCAATAACTGCGGTTAACACCATGAGTCATTTCCAGCTGTCTTCCCCAGACACGAAGGCAT